CATTTAAGGGAGAATAGTAAATTAAAATTGAATTTTAAACTAATAACTTGAATTGATGCACTCTCTGTATATAATGGAAAGGAAATAACAACCCATTATTTGTTAGACTTATATTGTAGAAAGTCGTTGGATGTACCTAGAGATCGGATCCTCTATAGTTGTCTACAGGACAATTCTCATGTGTTGAGAAGGTTCAAGACATATTTTATCTCCTTCACAGTGGTCAGTTAGGGATCAATATGTTAGACTCATAACTGTTTCCCTCCAAGCTTTATTTCCATGTAGCAAGGAAATGATTTGTCGTATTAGCCTCAATGTCCGATTGCTCTTTCATCTATCTCGATAGAGGAAGAACAAATGTTTCAGTTTCTTGGGAATTCGTGCTTTTATTGCCCCACCCCTCAAACTTCTTTTCAGAGGTATCTCCATTAGGGCTCTTGAGAACTGAAATACTTGAGTGTGGCGTGTGAGTGACTTGAGGCTAGGGCTGGCAATGAACCAAATCAACTCGAAGATAGTTCGGAATTCGACTCGACAATTAAATCGTTGAACTAGGTTCATGAACCAAATGAGTTGAGTATGAGCGAAAAATTAAGTTCGTTAACTAAATGAGCTGAACTTGAACTATACATAGTTCGACTCGTTAGGTTCATGAGTCAACTCAATTACATATGAAAAGAATTATACTGTCTTTAAGATTAGGTTTAAATATTTACTTTAAATCTTAGACAAATTTAATCTTAAATTTAGTAGTTTTTGAATTAGACTCTCAAATGTATCTCTTTAAAGTTGTGTAGGTTTTGAATTAGTAGATTTCGAAGATAAAGTTAAATTTCAATATGATAACTTTTATTTTATTTTAATATTTTATTTAAAAAATATATATTTATTTAAAATGTCAAATATACTAAAAAATATATATATTTAAAAAAATAGTTTTTAAGTTCGTGAACCACGTGAGATGAACCTAACGAGTCGAACCGAACTGCTCGTGAACTTATAACGAGTCGAGTTTGAGCTTAAAAAAAAGTTCGTGTCGAACTCGAACTCGAATTCGAACAATTCTTAACGAGTCAAACCGAGCTGAGGTGAGTTCGACTCGACTCGACTCATTTCCAGCCCTACTTGAAGCGTTGATATAGTCTACTTTATTTGGCATGCTTGCATATGATTCTTAAAGAGTCAACTTTTTACTCCTCCGAGTTATCTTTCTGCAGAAATATACTCTTTATTTATGTGTTTAGATGAGGAATACTTATAATATATATATATATATATATATATATATATATATATATATATATATATATATATATATATATATATATATATATATATATATATATATATATATATATATATATATATATATATATATATATATATATATATATATATATATATATATATATATATATATATATATATAATACAAGAGAAAAATTTTGAAAGTTAAATCTTTCCTAAAATCAGAGGAATTAATCTCCCTATAAATGTTGATTTTAATTACAGTAAATGTAAAAAATAATAGCTAATTAATTACATTAAAACTTAATCCTAATGAGTCGTAAAAAGAAGAATTATTTTATTATGTTTTGGTTATTCCACACCCCCCCTCAATATGGGACGTAGATGTCTATCATACCCAGATTGGATATGATATTCTCTTATACATTCATTGGAAGTGATTTTGTTAGAATGTATGTAGTTTGTTGGCATGATGGAATATGATAAAAACTTATAACTTCATGATCAATTTTCTCCTTGATAAAGTGTCTGTTTATCTCCATATGCTTTGCTCTATCATCATGAACTTGGTTCTTTATAATACTTATAGTAGCCTTGTTATCACATAATATCTTTATGGTGTGGCTGGTAGGAATTTGATTTTATCTAGCATTTTCTTTAACCAAATTACTTCACAAATACTTTGTGTCATAAATCTAAATTACGCTTTTGCACTACTCCTAGGTACAACAGATTGTTTCTTAGTTCTCCAAGTTATCATATTACCCCATACAAATGCGTAATAGCATGTAGTTGATTTCCTATTAAATAAACACCCTGCCCAATCTGAATGAGTGTAGACTTCAATACATTTGTTTGAGTTCTTTTGAAAATAGAGTCATCGACCTGGCGTACCTTTCAAGTATTAGAGTATTCTGTTCATATTTCTCATGTCAGTTTCAATTGGGTTTGACATATAACGCCTACGCATGCTTACAACAAAACCAATGTGCGGCCTGATGTGAGTTTGATGGATTAATTTTTCAACTAGGGTTTGATATCTATCTTTATTAGCTGGTACATTCTCATCTTCACTCTTATTTATTGGTTATATGGGAGTATTAACAACTTTGCATCCAAACACACATGTTTCTTAAAGTAAATCCCGAGTGTACTTCCTTTGAGAAACTCACTTGATATACATGATTTCCTTTATTAGTCTATTCTAGCTAGTGCGTATGAGATGTGCTTTAGTGTTCTCCTCGATCTATATTTGGATCATGTCAATTTATGGCGCTTATTGAGCTTCTTAGACTAATATGACATATCTTTATGATATATTAGGATCTTCAGTCTGCAATAGACTTGATTTGTTCCAAGGATTCTAGATTCGTGGAGAATGCTTGTTTCTTTGACCATGATGATGCTAATATGTGGCTTATTTTGGCCTCTCTCTCTCTCTCTCTCTCTCTCTCTCTCTCTCTCTCTCTCTCTCTCTCTCTCTCTCTCTCTCTCTCTCTCTCTCATATGAGGTGAGATCTAGAGATAACGAATGAATCGTCTTTGTTGTAAGGTTTCCCTTTTGACCTTCTGAATTATGGTCATTAGAATCGATATCCAAATTAAGAGAGTTGGCGAAAAATGCATTTCGTTGTAACGTTAGAGATAGAATGAACATTGAATGTAATTTCTTTTGCGGTTCGACTTTAGACCATATGGAATTTATTTTGGAATTTCGCGGGAATTCGACTTTGATTCTAAAAAAGAGCGTCATTTCTATATATTGTGGGTGTTGGTTGATGATGTAGGACTCTATAATCAGTGATGCTGATATTTGATATGGTGACGCTAGATGAACCTGCAAGGTTAATACTTTAACATCCAAGTCAGTTATAAAGTCTAAGATGAGTATAATGACAAGTGGAGATAAGAAAAGTGCATTCTTACATGTGATGACTATATACTTTTGGCATCTAAGGCATCTTTAATATTAGAAGATTCAATTTGAGAAGCAAAGGTCATATTTAGACATACACATTTAGCATTAAGATGAGTGGATACTCTCTGGCTAATGTCTCCAATTATGTTGTCAGTTAGATGATCTCTATGAATCCTGATTTCTTGAAGTAAATTGTTGTGATTTTCTACTTGATGTAACCTTTCATCTTGTTGTCTTGTCTGTTCAACATGATCATCATTGTTATTGATTTCATCTGGTACTTCATTTAAATCATCATCATTATTAAGATTAACAATTTTATCCTCCTTAGAGACGCTAATTTCATCAAAGAACACATGAATTGATTCTTCTACTACAAATATTATTTTATTAAAAATTCAAATAAGTTATACTTGATAAGGAATAGTCCAAAAATATACTTTCGTCAGATTTTTCATCAAATTTACCTAAGTTGTCCTTATCGTTGTTTAAGATGAAGTACTTGCACTAGAAATGTGGGGATGAGAGTTATTTGGCTTTTCTCTCATATAGAGCTCATATAGAGTTTTCTTTGTGATGAATATAGTGAAAAGTATGGATAAAAAAATGTACATTAATTCTTATATATACTGACTTATCTACTTTGGATAATCTCAATTGAACTTATTTATAATTGGACATTTATATTGGATGTTTGTTCGACTTATGATACATATAATAGAGAGTGGTAAGTGGTTTAGAGAGACCGGAGAGAAGCTTTGGAAAGATAAACATGCTAAATATTTTAATTTTGTAATTTTGTAATTATTCAATTAATGATAGATAAAATAGTAAAGTGAAGGAAATAGTTGCATAAGATAAATAAGTATGATGATGTGAATCAATGGAATTCTCTGATAAATGAAATGATGATGTGATTTGGTGGGAAGTTTTGAGATATAAATGTGTTATATTTATTGATGTCATGGTTTAGTGGAATAAGTAGTAATGTGAATAAGTGTAATGAAATATTATTTCATCCAACTAAGATGTCTCTTTGAAGGATTAAATTGTTGAATGGAGGAATAGTTTGGGGATCTTTTGGTTAATTTTAACAATTAATCATCAATTCATTCCTTAAATATTTAAAGACTAAATTAATAAGAGGGTAATAGTTTAGGGATTAGAAATTGACTATTTATTCTTATATAAATATGTTATTATGTATTATAATGGTGAAAATAAACAAATTAATCCAATTTAAATAGAACATAATCAAAATATGATAGTTCTATGATATTTTAAGCTTTAGACTCATTTTTTCCTCAAATTTGATCATTATTAAAACTCAAACACCGTTAATAAAATATATATTCTTAAATATTTTTAATGAGGGATTTTATTTAATTTCATAATTGAATGAAATCATCATAATAATTATATAAATAAATTAGATAATATAATATCATCATAATTAATGTTGGTTCATAACAAAGTATTCTATGCATATTAATAAATACTTTGTCCTATCAGTATTAATGTTGGTTTTTCAAAATATAATTGTACATCAGAGTTATCAGGAGTCTATAAAGATATGAAGCTTACCATAGCAATGGGATTCACAAGCATTAATGTTGCTCGTGTTAATAAAAAAAATTTGTTTTACCAATAAAAAAAATTGTAAATGAATTGCATAAAAATGACATAGATTTATGTGTGAAGTAGCTTATTAGTATGAAACTTAAAGTATGTTTTTTTAAAAGAGACCATTGAAAATACTCTTAAAGATATAGAAAAAAAATACAAACTTTATTATCAAATTACATAATAAATTTTACAACTAGTCTTCATATATTCAATAGTTGGCACAATCAGTAGGTTTGAAAGAGACAATATTTTTGTTGAGGTCATAACCAATCAAATAGTTTATTTGTGCCATGTTTCCAAAGATGCCTAATCCATTTTTAAACGGGCGAAATGCAAAGCATTCAACCCCGTCGTGTAGAGAATAAAATGCGCCTTTTGAATCTAACTTAACATCTGCACCCTTAAAATGTGTTGTAATTAGTGGTAACTTTTGTTGTTTGGATGTGGTATTGTAACAAAGGCTAGATGGATCTTCACGAACTCGAAAACGCTCTAGTTTAACCACTTTTTTCACAGCTGATTCCAACCTATAGTAAAAATGATGTGGAAGAATCGATACAGTTGTACCAGAGTCAATTATGATATTATTCGTAGAAGCATTTGTTCCTTCACGTTTAAACCCTCTATACTTTATTCTTTTATTTCCCACACTAAATGCTTTCACAGTTAGATAGTAATAGTCTTTTTGACGATTTCCTATCATTTTTACTATAGGAGTTGATACAACATTATCACCGGTAACAATAGCTTCATCTCCAAAATTGAGTTTGCTAGATCTAATAGACTTGCTATTATATTGGTCAACTAAACAGTATGAGAATTTTCCTCCAATAGAAGATCCTAATTGTTTTATCAGTGACATATCTCCACTTCCAAAGCCAATTACACCTGAATTTGGACCATTATAAGTTGGGTCACCATTATTGTGTCCACATCCTATAACAATTTCAGGAAATGAGACAAAAGAGTCTGTGGCAGACTCCAATGTAAGAGTCTCTACACTAAGATCTCCATGTGTATCATATCCATGACCATAATCCAATATATATTGGCAAACATCGTCAGAACAAGAAGTATCTTCCATAGATTTACATGTTCTAGATGAGCATGAAATATTTTTGTAACTAGAAGATTTTGAAGGATTAAAAATAGGAGAGGTTTGGTTGTAACATGTATGACATGGTTTGCATTGAAGCCAAATTAAGTTACTAGCTGTATCTATAATCCCAAAAACCTTAAATGATGGGGTACCAATCGAATAACTTATGAGATATTCACCGTTACTGTCATCATAGGGCATATATGTCTCAAGTTTGTTTTCAGTCGAAAAAAGTTTATTGTAAAAATAATTGGCACGATTGATAGACCGATGCACAACATTGAAACTTCTTTGAACTTTAGTTTGTGTAGGATTGTAAAGTGGTGATTTGAAAGAATCTCGATGAACGAGTTCAATGCTAAAACCATTGGTTATTCCAAGAGAAATAACCATTAAACAAGAAAAGCAAATAAAAATAAATGTAAGAAGTGAAAAATGTGACATTGCTTTAGATATCCAATGAAATCTTGCTCATCCAAATTTGTTTTTTCATTTCTTTATATAAGATAGAGAATGCATATAGATGAAAAAAATATAGATGAAAAAAATAAGAATAAGAGAAATTAAAACATGTAAAATACTCTCTCCATTCTTTATTATAATTCAATTTAGGTTAATTGAATTATTTAATTATTGGATACTTATTTATTTAGATCAAATATATTAATTATGTAAAAATTTTAAAAAATAAATAATAAATGGATACTTATTATCTTTTCAGTCACAAATTTATTATTTTTTGGTAAAAAAATATATTTATTAACATTCCTATTTTAAATATTACATTTGACTTTTTTGTTTACCAAATAAAATTAATATATTCTCATTCAATGCATAATTTTTAAAATGATAATATTTAATTAATTTCATATTTTTTTAAACAAGAAAATATTACCCATTTCGACGAGACCACTTCATGAATTATTTTGTTTTTAAAAATTACTTTTTTTTCTTATTCTTTATATATCTTTTGTAATGTTAAAACATTTATATTGACATCAGTCGATAAATATTAATATCTTCGTAACGTAATTGTGATGATATTTTTAAATAAGGATATTTTTAATCATGATTTTTAGAATTATATTTGTAGTAATAAGATTTCTTTAAAATATATATTCATGGTTATTTGGATATGATGTTTTGATTTTTTTTTTTCAAAATTATTATTTCGGATATGAACTTTGATAAAATCGAATTCAATATTTTATTTTGAATATTTTTAATTTAAAATTGAAAAGGTTAATTATATCTTTTCACAATTTTTTATTTTGAATTTTTTTAATTTAAAATTGAAAAGGTTAATTATATCTTTTCACTTTGACATTTTTTAATCATATCCTTCAATTTCCATTCACTCTTTTTTTATACACATCTCAAATTATTATAATTAAATATATTAATTTGGAAAATAAAACAACTATATTTAAAAAAGAAGTCAGTCAAAATATGGATCTCTTAAAAAGTTCAATGTATATCTTATTATTTATAATAAAAAGTGAGTTTTATAATAATAAAAACTTAAAATTAAAAATACAATTTTATTTAAATTTAGTAAAAACAATAATTTCCTTATTTTAATTGAATTTATAATCCGATCAAAAATCAAACAAATACAATAGTTAGAAAAATCTATCTGACATCCCACACTAGAATTTTTTTTTTTATAAATAAAATCTCATATATGAATTAAAAAGAAGCATTTCTAATTTAAAATTGAAAAGGTTTAATTATATTCTTTCACTTTGACATTTTTTAATCATATCGTTCAATTTTAATTCACACTTTTTTGGTACTTATAATATTTTAGGGAATATAAATATTCGATAACTATATACTATTTATAGAAGATTTATTTCCTCGTTTTAAATATACATTTCAAATTATTATAATTAAATATATTAATTCGGAAAATAAAGTTTTGATTGTGTAAAGTTAAGAAAAAGAATATTTTGAGATTCTTTATTTTACTGAGATATAAAGTTTCCATTTGTATTATTTTTTAATTTTTTTAAATCACGTTTTATTTTATAAATATTTGATTTATTTTATTATTATATTATGCTTTAATAGTTGTTCTAGCACATTGAAATGTGGACTATTTTTTAGTATGAATACATAAAACGTCATAAAATAGAAGATTTACATAGCTTCTTACCATTTTGGATTTGGATCAATTTGCAAATAATTAATTTCTTAATCAAATTTATATATTATTTTATATATATATTTTATATTTTGATTTTTTAATTTAAATTAAAAGTTTATATCGTTGAAAATTTTCTATTTATTATAAATAAAACAATATATTTTAAAAAAGAAGTCGAAACATAATATGGATCTCTTAAAAAGTTCAATGTATATCCTTACTATTTATAATAAAAAAGAAAATAGTTTTATAATAATAAAAACCAAAAATTAAAAATACGATTTTACTTAAGTTTATTAAAAATAATAATGTCCATGTTTGAATTGAATTTATATTCTGCCCAAATCAAACAAATACAGTAGTTAGACAACCCACACATGAATTTTTTTTATAAATAAAATCTTATATATTAATTAAAAACATATTACAAAAAGGAAAGTTCAATTAAGGTCAGAATCTCTAATTTTAAAATTAAATAGGTTTGAGATTATGGTTTTATGGTTCCTCATATTTTTATATATTTTTTTTACTTTTAATATATTGGGCTTTTTTGCCTCTAATTTAAAAAATAATAATTAATATTCATCAAAAAGAGCAAAATTTAAAAGGAGAATTTCTTATCGTATCCTATATGTTTCTAATGCAGCATGTGAATTTTATATATGTTTTTTGATTTCGGAGATACATATCCGGACACACTTATTTTTAAATAAACATTGACATATTTCGGAGATACATCTCCGAAACTATTTTAAACATTCAGAAGATGTCTCCTAGAAACTATTTACATTTGAATTGTTCTGGAGATAATATTTCGGAGATACATCTCCGAAGTGTATCAGAATATTATTTTTTTGCTATAAGTTGCTATTTGTTTTTAGATGAAGTATGCAGCACGATCTCGAATTAAAAAAAATGGACGTGCAAATTATTAAGAGACTAATATTGTGTGTGTCAAAAATAATATAGCGATATGTAAAAAGTATTCTGCAATCAAGATCTAAAATGTAATAAAACTGTACAAATAAAGTAGAGAGTACTATACTACAACAAAATAATAACAGACTACTACTGAGTCTGCCTCACAAGATCTTCTCTACCTCATCTTCCTCCTTGGCCATCAATCGACGCCGTCCTCTGGTGATGTCTCTAGTACAACAGTGCCTCTTGTGCATCCGCCACCATGACATCCAAAATTCGCCTGACAGCAGACCCATCAGGGAAGATACCCTCGTCAATGTTTGCCCGCGCAATCTCCACTATGCGACAAAACCTAGGCAAGACATCATCAATATGACCTAACTGAGTTTGCTCCTCCTCTAGTATCTCCTGATGAGTTGACCTCAATGGATCTCCTAGAGCAGTTTGCAGTATGTACGAATGTGACACCCTTAAGAACCACCTGATGTACCCATCGACATAGCTCCAGTCGTTCGGTGTTATGGGAGCTCGTGCCTCCTCTGGTACTAGGTGACTCTCATAATCAACAAACATCTCCTCTATCTATCTACGAGACAAGGCATAAGAAGCAGAGACAGTAAGGTGTCTAAGGATGGTATGGGTGTACCCGAGTTGCCGCTTGACGCGTTCAGGAAGATGAGGAACATTGATACATGATTCACAGGCCAACCATCCCGAGTATAGTGCTATGTCGTCAAATGGCCGCGTCTGACGGTGATCTACTTAGCTGTTAATGTAGATGTCTTCAACAGCCAAACAACAAGATAGACTCTGAAAGGCTCGACCGCCTAGTTCCCTCACAGCAGAATAAAAGCACGAACACACGACATATCTTCAGCGTACTCATCCACACTCACCTAGCCAGCGATGTGTGGGAAGTGCTGAAGGATCCAACCCTGAAATGAAAATAAATAAATAACCATTCAAGGGTCAATAATGATCAGAAATGGTTTTGCAAATATGAACTATAAATGACACAAAAATATTCAAGGATTAAGAATTATTACCATTAATAATATCACGCTGCTTGTGACCTGCTTCATCTTCCATCGATATCCCTCTCTCAACTTGAAATAAAGATATGTCAGGTAAGTCGCCCCCCAATTGTACTCATGGATCCGAGTGAGATCCAAGAAGTACCGGAGGTATGCAATAACAGTATAATTGGCACTCGTGTCTGTCGCTACTGCGAAAAAGGGCTGACAAAGACAGAAGAGTCACCATCGTTCGTTATTTATCCCAAAGAGAGGGAAAGGAAACGATCAGAGAAAACCTACGAAAAAGGGAAAAGACAGGTCATCGCAACCAAATCTCAGATTCGGGAGTCGATTACGCAAGGGGAAGGTATGAGCATCCCTCACGTCCGTTGTACTCAACGGGATCCACGCTTGTTATCTATCAAAAGGGTGTTAAATCTAAAAGGTTGGCTCACAGGGACAAAAGAAAACAAAAGAGACTCGATAGCGCATCGCCGCTATATGCCTACGTATTCCCTCGTGCAATGGGAAAGTCAGAGTCAACGTAGTTCGGAAAACTACGGGTGAAAGGTGGGGAAGGTTGCTCGCCAAGACATCGCTGTCTTGTGCCTACGTATCCTCGTCTGGTACGAGAAATCAGAGCAAACGTAGTTCAGGTTGACACGACCACAGATTGGTTCAAGTGTTTTAACTGAGTAGGGTTAAACCTCCATTCTAGCAGTTAGGTGTATTGCTGCTCGACCATTGGAGACTTAGGCGTTACCTGTTTGCGGTAGAACCAAGAGTTAATACACTCTTTCTGAAAATGATTTTCAAACAATCCCGAAGGATAAAAAGGTTTGATGTTTTGTTTTGTGTTTTTTATGAAGAAGTGAATTGAATTGAGTTTGTAATTCATGTTGCACGAAAGACTATGACTTGAGAGCAAATGCATCGCATATCGCCCAAAGGGCATACGCTAAACACTCTAGACAATTGAGAGGAAGCCCCTCAACTATCATTCCTCAAGTACTTAAGGCTCGTAGCGTACAACACTTATTATCCTTTATTAGGTGTCTTAAGATGTTTTGAGATGAGAAGAGAAGACACAAACTCTAAGGGGAAACTAATCAACCCTAATGTTATCATGCAATGTGCTCCTAAAGTTGGGATTAAAATAGGGAATGCTATCCTAATGTTATCATGCAAAGGATTGAACACCTAATGTCTCTCCTACTCCCATCTTAAACAGAAGGACTAGGAATCCTAAGGAATCATGGAAAAAGAGCTCAAGTAAACACTAGATAAATCAATCACAAATGAAATGCAAGAAAGAGATGAAATTGACTTTAACAGGAAAAATAAACATGATATGCAAG